CTCTATCTAAACATATCAGTAAATCTGAGAGGAAGCATGACCTTGTGATTGCTGTAAGTTGCATGCTTGTGGGATTCTTGTAATTTTTCCATTTTATTTTTGTTTGTGTTTTTTTTTTTCATCTCTGATATGAGTGTACATACTGGTTATTCAGTTTGGTAAAATGTCTTTTTTAAACTGCTGGATTTAGAAAATTTCAGTATATGAGGCATTTCTGGTGTTATTAATTAATGATAAACATGTTTCCATGGGCTGAAGTCATATGTGCTGGGAGAGGTACCATCACTGAACGACCGGGTTACTGTAGTTCGCCAACTTTGGGATCTGACACGGGATGTGCTGGTATGTTTCAGGCTTTGCTGATCTTTTCTTTCTTTTGAATTGTAAATACAAAGTAGCATCTGTGTTTCGGTTGCAATACTATAATTCTAATTCATGGTCATCAAAGTCAGCATTTCTTTTGAGATTCCGCCTCCTGTATCATCTTTTGTATTAATGTGTTAATATGCAGTGAGCTAGAGAAATACTACTGACTGTACATTATTGGTTTATGTTGTTCATTTAATTTTAACTTGATCTTGACATAAGGATGGGTAACGATTTCTGACCAAATCTCAAATTCAATGTTTAGGATCACATTTTTAAACTTGGGCCTCTTTGCTTTCTGATGTAATCTTTACTCTTGAGTTTGCTAAAAATTTCAACTCTGGGACAGGTTCTAGTTGAACCAGGGACACCACATGGATCTAATATAATCTCTCAGATGCGATCTCACATTTTGTGGATGGAAAACAGGGTAAATATGTATCTATTAATTGTTCTTTGGGGTTACATATTGAATTAAGGTTCCTGTCTAATTTCATGAAAGCATATTTTGGTTAAGATTTGTGATTATGCCTCTTCCCCTTATGCAATAGTATCTTCCTGGCTTCTTAGAAATTTCGTAAATTGGAGAAGGCTTGTAAAGACTTAGTGGACCTCAGAAGTGGTGCATTTATTGTTGCTCCTGTAAGTATAACTTCCTGAATTTACTTGTCTGCTATTTAGCATGTCCCTTTTTTATATCCTTCTTCAATGAAACTGCATTTTTGAAGTGTGAATTTAATTGTCATTCTCTTGATGCAGTGTCCTCATGATGGGCGGTGTCCTTTGGAGAAATCTGGAAAATACTGTCATTTTGTTCAGCGTCTACAGAGGACATCATCACAGCGGGCATACAAGGTTCTTTCTTAGTCAATCTTTGTATTGTCACCATGAAATATTTATCTTTAATATGCTGCTTTGTTGAGCATATATCATCCAATTGTCTCTCACGGGGTTAATTCTCCTGTCTTCCTTCCCATCCCCCTCCCCCCTCCTTGTGCACGTCTTTAGGTGTTGAAAAATGATTTAGCTTCAGTAATAATTACTGCATAATGATTTTGGCACTTTCAAGATGCATGAATATTAAAGGTCAGTACATTGGTATGTGCATACATGCTTTCATGAATGGCTAACTACCATGGACATAGGTGG